TGACTTTAAACCACACAGCATCCTCTTGTTCTGTTCAAATGACTGCCTCTTGATCTATGTACAGGTCCCTCATGGGCACAATGAAGTGTTCTGGAATTCCTATTCTTCGCAGTGTTACCTATAATTTGTTATGGATCACACAGTCAAATGCCTTTGCATAGTCCAGAAAACACAGGTAAAAATCTTTCTGGTATTCTCTGCTTTCAGGCAAGATCCATCTGATGATATCCCTTGTTCCATGTCCTCTTCAGAATCTGGCTTAAATTTCTGGCAGTTCCCTGTCAATGTACTGTTGCAACTGCTTTTGAATGATCTTCAGCAAAATTTTACTTGTGTGTTATATTAATCATATTGTTGGATAGTTTTCACATTCTGTTGAATCACCTTTCTCTGGAATGGGTACAAATATGAATCTCTTCCAGTTGGTTGACCAGGTAGCTGTCTTCCAAATTTCTTGGCATAGATAAGTGAGCACCTCTAGCCCTGCATCCATTTTTTGGAACGTCTCAATTGGTATGCTGTGAATTCCTGGAGCCTTCTTTTTCACCATAGCCTTCAGTGCAGCTTAAACTTCTTCCTTCAGTTCCATCGGTTCTTGACCATATGCTACCTGCTGAAATGACTGAATGTCAGCCAATTCTTTTTGGTACAGTGACTGTATGTATTTCTTCCATCTTTTTTTGGTGCTTTGCGTGTCATTTAGTATTTTCCCTGTAGAATCCTTCACTATTGCAACTCGAGGCTTAAATTTTTCCTTCAATTCTTTCAGCTTGAGAAATGCTGAGCATGTTCTTCCTTTTTTGTTTTCTAACGCCAGGTCTTTGCACATGTCATTATAATGCTTTACTTTGTCTTCTCTAGCTGCCCTTTGAAATCTTCTGTTCAACTCTTACTTTATCATTTCTTCCTTTCACTTTAGCTACTTGAAGTTCAAGAGCAAGTTTCAGAGTCTCTTCTGACATCCATTTTGCTCTTTTCTTTCGTTCCTGTCTTTTTAATTACCTCTTGCTTTCTTCCTGTATGATGTCCTTGATGTTATTCCACAACTCGTCTGGACTTCAGTCATTAGTGCTCAATGTGTCGAATCTATTCTTGAGATGATCTCTAAATTTAGGTGGGATATACTCAGGGTTGTACTTTGGCTCTTGTGGCCTTGTCCTAATTTTCTTCAACTTTAACTAGGCACCATTTTAAATTTACATTTATCCTCACAACAAACCTATAAGGTAGGTGCCGTTATTATCATCTCCATTTTATAGATGAGGAGACTGAGGC